AGTTGAAAACACCTTGACCGAACCTAGAAGATCGATAAAGCTCACCCCCGGCCGGAGGCGCTTACGTAAATAATACAAGACTACTGTCGCCTGTTATGTGTGCATTTTCGTGTTTACCCAAAGTTTCCAAAGTTGAAGGAAGACCCAAAGCTTCCATACAATACTGTAAGGAAACTTTGGGTCTTCAAAAGAAAAAATGATATAGTATTTTTAATGCAGGGTGGGGCAGCATAACTTCCTTATTTGTAATGCGCGCCATTCGGTCAGGTGACATCGTAGTGGAGCGCTAGTGGTCTCGTTCGAGAGGGGGGGCTATAAAGTTTAGTCGAGACAGCTCAGTCGCCATAATGCGTTGGAACAGTGAGGAGCGTGCGTTTGCTGTTGAGGCTTACTTTTCGCGCGGATGTTCTGTGATTGCAACTCAGCGCGCCTTTCGAAATCGCTTTAATTTAGCCCCGTTGGCCCCTGTTCCAGACCGAAAATCAATTGTTATGTGGGTCACTACGTTTAGACAAACTGCAAGTGTGACAAAACGAAGAACTGGAGTCCCTCGGCCCATTAGATCACCTGAGAACATTGAGGCAGTCAGAGCTTCAATGTTGCGATCACCACGGCGTTCTGCGCGCAAACATGCATCTGCCCTTGGACTTTCCAGTCGTTCTGTGCGGAGAATTCTCCATGAAGACTTACATTTCCATCCATACAAGATGGCGACTGTACAGGAACTGTCAAAACGTGACTACGATTCTCGCAGGAACGCATGTGAGATTCTTCTGGATGTCGTTCCTGAGGACGCTATTGTTTTTTTTAGTGATGAAGCACATTTTCACTTGTGTGGATCCGTGAACAAACAAAACATGCGCTACTGGGCTGACACCAATCCTCGAGAATTGCACGAAAGGCCTTTGCATTCACCTAAGGTCACAGTGTGGTGTGCAATTTCCTCAGCTGCAATTATTGGTCCCTGGTTCTTTGAGGAAAATGAAGTCACAGTAACAGTGAATTCGGGCCGGTATGTAAACATGTTACAGGAATTCTTTTTACCCCGGCTGAATGCGTTGGACTTGGGAGACATTTGGTTCCAACAAGACGGTGCAACGGCACACACTGCAAGAGCATCGATGGCTGTTTTGAGAGAACACTTCCCAGAACGCCTTATCTCAATCAGGGGCGATTTGCAGTGGCCGGCCCGATCTCCCGATTTGTCCCCTTGTGACTTTTTTCTATGGGGTTTTTTGAAATCCCGTGTTTATGTGAACCGTCCAAGGACCCTACAAGATTTAAAGAACAACATCTAGGAAGAAATTGCCAACATAACGCCTGCTCTGCTTCAAAGAGTTATGACAAACACCAGAAATCGGTATACTCAATGTATAGAGAATAAGGGACGTCATCTACCTGATTTGATCTTCAAAACTAAATAAAACAAAACTTTAAGTATGTACTTACATTGTAAAAACCAAATAAAATTTTTCCGATTCATACAATGTGTTTTATTAGGTTTTAAAAAAAGGAAGTTATGCTGCCCCACCCTGTATTATCACGTTATAAAATACAATAATACAAATAATAAATATAGGTATAATTTTTACTACCAAGCCGGAGCGCAAAATATATGCTTACGTTAAACGGTATAAAGAACGGACCTGACTAGAGCGCTAGAGGCTACTCAGATAAGGCCGAGTGACACGTCCGCGTGTACGTCGATGCTGCTGCGGGTCTTCGAATAAGAACCGAAATGCAGATGCGGTATCAGCTCTAAACACTAAACTGGAATGCTTCATTTCCAGTAAAAGAGTCTCCGGTATCCTACACTCACCATACGAAGCACAACAACATTAAGCTGCTATTTCACGCTGGTGTTCTCTAATTTTTCGGTCATTGTATTGATGAAATACCACTTCATAAATATGATGAGTGGTGACCGATTACCGTGTTTTGAAAAGATAACTCGGAGACTAACTTTACAAAGATAACTTCAAAATTAAACTTAGTCTTGAATGTGTTTGATCGTAATCTACTTACAAATTAACTTATTTACAAACTATCGTTGTCGCAAATGTAGAAAACAAGTACCTATAGTAGTTAAATTTTATCGCGTTTTTTAGGTTTTATTAAATTTTTATTATTTTAAAAATTAAGGGAAGAGTATATGTTGTTTTATATAAGAGTTTTTTATTATATTTTTTATTTTTGATAATTTTTTTTTTTTTGTTTGGGTGGGGGTGTGTTTGCCCTAGTGCCTATCGTGTGCCTGCTGTACTACCATATGTCAGAGGAGTTACAGACAAGATTGGCTACATCTTGAAGCGAGTTATTATTGGGTGTTTTTTCTGGTCTGGGGGGGTGTTTGGTGGTGTTGTTTTATTTGATAAACCACAAATCCTCGCAAAAGAACGCCGATTCCTACCAAGCATGATACGCGAGGCTATTGAAATTAAAAAACATATTAATTTCAATAGAGAAGATGGTTGGGTGCTTCCATCTGCTTGGGATCCTATAATTAACAAAATCAAACCCAAACCCAAGCATACCACTGCAAGACTTCAAGATACTGTAAGTTCGTTTTGCGTAAATCGGACCAAAAATTAATATTCAAAAACTGAAGGTAGCCGGGCTAACAATGACATTGGGACGTCAAACATCTCAGCCCCCCGTGACCATGGTTGCTGTAAAGCACCCGAAACGTCGGGAATTAAAAATAAGTAAAATCAGTTAAATAAACGCGATAGAATCCGTAAATTTAGTTTTATTCAAAAAAATCGGACTCACGGTGAACCACGGAACACCGATATCACGCCCGAACAACATCCCATCTGAGCTATTACGATCGTTAATAACCTGTCAAAATTTACCTTCTTATATCGTAGCAGGTTTTTTATTGCCTGAAAACATGGACAAAGGGACATTTTCCAAAAATAAATCCTAGTTAGATCGATTTATTGCCCCCGAAACTCTCTGGACACTAAATTTTATGAAAATCGTTGGAGCCGTTTCCGAGATTCCGATTATATATATACAAGAATGGCTCGTTGAAAGGTGTAGGATAATAGCTGCACATGGATAACATATTATTTAGTATATACGACGAAAAAATATATTTGTACACAAAGCTTTAGGATGCAGCAGTTTTTTTTGACCCGATTACTAAGTTGTTACTACTAAAAATATTTCAAGCCAAGTTATTCAAATAAAATTCCGTACAAATATTTAAAAATATATATTACGAAATTCGAGACAAACATTTTAAATCACCACCACCATCATCAGTTGGAATCGTATTCATCATTTTACGTCCATTGTCAGTAATCAACTACGCGATAAATACATTTTGTATAAAAATTCTAGTTCAGGTTAAATAAAGCATGCGAGTTATTTCATCTTAATGAGTGCATCCACGACTTTCTGCCACTAGGATGGCGCCAATCAAAAATGAAGGGTATGTTCCAAAATAGAACCCAGTGTATTGTCGAATGCATATGACGTCATGAATCGACGCCATACTGGTGATACGTTCCAAAACATAGGACACAGTATATGATCATACATTTGCGCCATATAGAAAAGTGTTGGCGACTATGTTGTCATTTTTGCTCCGGCGACTATGTTGTCATTTTTGCTCCAAAAATCGTTATATCCTCCTAATGGAAATACTTTATTTAAAGAATTCTGTATTTTTTTGTATTTGAATAAATAAAAAAATGGCATACTTCATTCAGCGTACACAAAATTAAAAATTGTTTTATTATGGCCGGATATCCGATACAATATGGCGGCGGCACGCCAGTACAATATGGCGTCAATTTATGACGTCATTTGCATTCGGCAGTATACTGGAATCGTTTCGGAACATACCCGAAGTGTAATTTTTTATTGTTTTGTTAGATTTCATAGCGGAGAAATTAATTTTTCGGAAAATCTAAAGGTTAATGTTTCTTTCAGTACTATTAGTTATATTTTATATTAATGAGATGAAAATAAATAAACCAGATCACAGATATTAATTTAAATTAGAAAAAATTAAAAAAGTTAATAATGTGCAAATATTAAAGAGCATTGATAAATATAATTAAAACTTATTTTTTAATTAAATGACATTGTGTAACAATAAACTTCACCTCAGTGTCAACTAGATAAAGTACAAAAATGCAAGAAAGACTTGCATTCGGTCCTGTGTAATTTATTATTGCCTTTTTTAAGATAAACAGGTCTTCTTAACTAAAGGTCAACAAGTGAGAAACATGGCCAATGTGCCCTTAACGCGATTATTACTCAGGGATAATTATATTATATATACATTTTCATGACTTAAATAAAACAACATTTAATTTTGATATTATGTCTATTAACATTTTCTCCACAATCTAGTGAAAAAAAAAAACGGATTAATTATTTATATAAATAAATATCTATATCACAAAAATTATTTTATATTTAGTCTCATGTTAAGTACGCGGAAAGCGGTTTTGTAATATGGTAGAGCCTTGCTGTAGTTACATATATTATGATCCTATCACGATCACGCTCTCACAGAACACCAGCGTAAAATAACAGCTCAATACTGCTGTGTTTCGTATGATGAGTGTAGAGAACCGGAGAGCCTCGTCACTGGCAGCAACTGAGGCATTCCATCTTAGACCTCAGGGGCGATAACGTATCTGTATTTTGATTCTTAATCGAGCACAGATGTAGATGTCTATGGACCACAGCATCCACTTATCATCAGGTGGATTATGTGCTCGTTTGTCACCCCTCTTCTATAAAAAAAGGATTCTTCTTAAACTACAGTTAACAGTTAATAATAAACCACTTTTTGTAATAAGTCTGAGTCTAGATCTTGATTACTATCGTATATTTAACGTTTAAAACGTTTCGAAATCTTGTGCCCGAACAAAATATGGTACACACTCGTGCATTGTTTTATACTTTATTAGAACAGATTCTTTTATTTTAAAGTTTTTAGCAAAACATTACTTATATATGAAATAAACATGTTACAGGCGCTTTCCGAAGCATCGGAGAAAAAACCGCTTCTCTGTTCGAGCGTAAGAAGAAAGACGTGGAGCAGATAGCAGCGGAGAAGGCGGAAGAGGCAGCTCATGTGGTTGAAGAGCATGTGAAGAAGGCGGGAGAGCTTGTTGATGGGGTGCATCAGACTGCCGACCAAGCAGCTAACTCAGCAGCAACAGCAGGTTTGTTGAAAAGGAGCCGGTTGGACATGTGGAAATCCCTAATTTAGGAAGATTTATTTTAATCTCGACTCTTGGTAAGCGGATTACCATTAAAGGTAGACGCTTCGGTCCGTAAACGCTAGCAGTTCTGGACTGACCGGGTATACGGTACTCATAGGTAACTTACTTAGTAATCCGAAGCCGGATATAGTAATCGTATTTTTACTGCAGACTGTTATCAGAAAGATAGCGAATATATATATAGATTTATATTACCCGGCACATATAGAAGAAACTTAATGACAAGTAGCATTAAATCGATGGTGCCTTACATGCTGCCGAACAAAGAATGACGAAACGGTGATAAAGATAGGGATACGTATTATCCTGCAGCATATTACTTTAAGTTTTTTTTTATTTGTTAATTTATTTCAATCACATATTTATTTGTACGATATATATTTTCGATAATAATTTTAAATTATCATATAGTATTACTCCCAGCGGTATAGTGCTAAGAGCTCTGATTGTGTTTCCTCTCTGAATGGGTATACTTTAGCCTTTGAACTAAAAAAAAATATTATATGACCTGTAAGCTGTTAGATTTTATTATAAACGCTTATTAAAAAAAACTAGCGTTTTATTACTAGCGCGTTCGTGAGAAATGTTCAAAATATCATTGTCTACATTTCTTGTAGTACGTAGAGGCCTTTAACTTCTAAAAGGGTTGCAGAGCAAGCAAGAGTTCATTGCACTGCTCCAATTGGTGTTGTGTGTGTTCAAATCTACTCGAAATAAATTCTTCGATGGTATTCTCACGATAATTTTGAAGTGAAAAATCTTTAGCGGCGTTTTACACTTTTTTGTAATGGGTAAAAAATGTTAAACTCGCATCAGGACACGTGACCTGATCGAAAATGCGTAAGACGGAGGACGTAGGAGAGGAAGTATCCCTCTCTCGTTCTACGGCGCGGCGAAAATGTATGCTCGCGCCTGCTGTGTCATTTAGGCGGCGCAGGGCGCTTGCGCGAATATAATATGAATTTTCATGTTTGTGTACGACACATACCACATAAATGATAGTACTTTTATACTGATAATTAAAGCAATTCGTGCAAAATTATTCCCTAACCATTCCAAAATATCAAAAATGCACAACGTTAATATTCAAGTGTTCACTTCTGCCGGCACTCCCGGAGTCCGGAGTGCACAACCCGTCGTTTCTTTTCATCGCATGTGGTAAATCAGCACTTAAAATTGCAAATAATTTACTGGTAACGGCGGGAGTCTAGTCTCGTATTGTGTCACAGACACTTTGACTTAACGTGATAGAGACAGTACGTACCTAACGGCATCTTAAAATTGAGTATTGGTTGCCTTGACTGGGGATAGACCACGTTCGTACAGATTACGAGCGTGAAATAGAATCAAGGTAACGAGGCATTCCATCTGATACCTCAGTGATGAAAACGCATAGTTATTTAAATGTAGCTTAGGCTGCGGCATCCACTTACCGTCGGATTTTTTTTAATAGAATACCTAAGGGTGACAAACGAGCACACAGTCCACCTGATGATAAGTGGATGCTGTAGCCCATAGACATCTACATTTATCCTCGATTAAGAATCAAAACGCAGATGCGTTATCACCCCTGAGCACTAAGATGGAGTGCCTCGTTTCCTGTTAGAAAGGGTCTCCGGATCTCTACACTCACCAATACGAAACACAGTAGTGCTGGTATTCTGTGAGAGTGTGGTCCTTCACCGTTCGAGCCGACGCATTCGTGCTACAACCATAATTCATAATTTGTTTATTCCCCTGTTTCTAAAAAAACTCGTCTATTGTATATACACTTGCCTCCAAAAAAATCGAACCACCTACGTTTATTCGCAAAAAATTGTCGTATGGGTTTTTACCACAATCGATAGCTATTTTTTATCTTGGTAATATAATAATGCAATTATAGGGTTGTAAGAAACTAAAAAAAAGTCACATGAGGTTGCAAAATGTCCGCAATGTAACTTTCAGCATTAACCGCACGATTGCGAAAGAAAACCAACTGTACACCCCAAAACATTGTAGAGCCTCCACCAAACCGGACTGTTTCTCTTATGCAACACTGAGCATAACGTTCTCCTGGTCTTCGCATAACGTTACGACGTCCGTCAGAGCCTACAAGGGTCATTCGGCTTTCATCGAAGATAACTGTCTCCCATTGACCAAGATTACATTGCACGTGTTGCCTAGCAAATTCTAACCTTGCTTGCCGATTCTCATCGGCAGTGAGTTTTGGTCTCCCGTCGCTGGCTTGTGTGGTGTCAGGTTTTGCTCCCGAAGTCTTCTTCTCACCGTATTCACGTTTACAGACACTCCACGAGTTTCCCTCAGCCTACCCTGAACATCAACAGCAGAAAGATGCCGATTTCGCAAAGAAGTCAAGGCAATAAAACGGTCATCCGTCGGGTTTGTGAGACGTCCTCTTCCAGACCCTGGTCTCCGGCGGTACTCTCCCGTCTCTAAGTATCGTTTATAAACTCTACGCACTGCTGATCGACTCAAATTTAATCTCCTTGCCACATTTCGCTGACTTATCCCTTCACGAACGAGAGCTACCAATTGAGCGGCTTCTGCTTCAACAAAGAACTACGATACGCAGAATCAAGAATATAAAAAAAGTCCGAAATAAACTAACCTTGCGCTCTATGCACAAGTTGAAAAATTTTTGTAAAATTTATCAGTGCTCTTTAAGGTGAAGTGGGCGCCAAAAGCAGATTTTTCACGCTTTATATGGACTGTTTGATCGGCCCGCGCGCTATTTATTCGCACAATATTTATTTGATATTTCTTTTTAAAATTGTATATAGTCTTTTATTGAAAAATAAACCCATAATTCACTCACGTATTTACTGGTGTACACATAGCCTGAATTTAATTGAAATTGATTTCATTACATTCGAATGAAACAGCTTTTTCACTTAGTGGACGTACCTAAAATTGTAGATTTTGAGGAAACTTAGCGATCTTTTTCTATGGAGCCAAAATGTGTCAATCGTGTTTTGGCCAACATAATTCACTAAGAAAAATCTTAAACTTTCATAATGAAAAAAAATGTGGATTCGTAGTTTTTAATGACAAAAAAATTGCTTTTCTGCGCACCTACAAAGCGTGAAAAATCTGCTTTTGGCGCCCACTTCACCTTAAGCGCACTAATAAATGTTACAAATACCCACAAAAGCACTTGTATTCCCTAAAACGACAAGTAGGTAGTAGGTGTTAATTTATAACGCATAAACAAAAACATACAAATATGTCGACGCATACAAAAGATAACAACTTGTTACTCAAAATTAACGGGTGGGTCGATTTTTTTGGAGGCCAGTGTATAAGTATATAGTATATTAATTTATTACAGTTAGGTTCGTAAATTCAAACCCTTTTTACTTTTCGTACCTTGCAACTCTGATATATAGCTGCCTACCGTCGTAATGGAGCTCCAATCGGATTCCGATTTCCTTTTCTTTTTATCAAACAAATCTCAGGGCCTGTTTCAAACACGGGTCTGACTGCGTAGTAAGCATATGACGCGATTATGTATAAAACAAGTCTGACATTGACAACGTACACTTAAAAATACTTAAAAGTGACCGCGTCGCAACCTTACCTGCGCATAGATTTTCTGCTGCTTGATTAATGATGATTAATGATCATCGCCCTTTTCTTCTTTAATAGCCTTTCTTAATCTACAGCTGGTTCTAGGCCTTTTCAAGAAGGCACCAGCTAGCATTCATAACTTGAAATATTTTTTTTATTCACCATACTGGACAGGCGGTTTGGTAAGCGAAAATAATACATGCTTATAACGTATGTCGTAAAAGCCAAAAAAAAACCGCAATAACTACTGAGAGATGGCATGACAGTCATTTCGAAATATACCAGACCAATGGCGGGCAGTAGCATCAGGTGCGAAGTGTCTGCGATCATTAATCTGCTTGCTGAGATCATATTCTCCAAGATACTTGTCTCTTGAAGTGAAATATTTACAGCCTGTTAATGTAAGGTATTAGGTATAGTGTAGTGACGGTGTAAGAATATTCGCTACCCCATGTCATCCCGCGGGTGTCGTAAGAGTCGACAGAGGGAAACAAATCCGGAGATGGGCAGCTGCGTCTTCCTTATAGCGACTAAAAGTAGAAACTGCGGTTGCCAACTCGCTTGCCAAAATATCCCCTTATGATGCAATATATATATGGTGGAGGCCTATGTTCGGTAGTGGGCTTAGGCTGTAACGGTAAGATAAGGTAAGTTTGAGGTATGTAGAAGACTTGTTTTAAAATCGACGACTACGTATACTAGTTTTTAAGTTTTAAGTGTACTAACAAAATGGGTGTATTTACCTGAATAATGTAATAAATAATACGGAGGTTAAACGCGATGATATGCTGTAGCTTTTTTGCACCGCTACTACACGTCTGTAGTCAAGAGTCTTATCTAATTCTAAATTTATGGAGCAAACTGACTCATAGCCACAATGTAATGTAGGTTAGGTTGGCTTAGTGCCAAAAAGTCAAATAATAAAATCAGGCCCCAATGGGGGCGCTGTGGCTGCGGTATATTTTTTATTTACACAAAAAAATGTCATCTTCACCTATAGCAAAGGGAAGAACCACGATTGTCGAGCTAGGAGCTAATATACTCACGAAATTACACACACGTTCCGCACCACTATAGTGAAGGATTCGTAATACTTTGTAAATTTATGCTGATTAGGTATAAATAAATAGTTTTTCTCGGATAGACTTTCGGGTTTGCGTTATAAATGGCTCTTATGTCATTGCATTGCATGTCAGCCGCAAAGTATCTAGACACGCGGTAGCGTGTCAAGCCAAGTTCACGCAGAACGGCGAGCCGCACCGTGTGTAAAATTTACACGAACCATTTGAAGCCACTTTTGACCCACTCATAACTCAAAAACTATTTCACATAAACGTTTCAAATTTGGCACATATATTGAGACTTGCAAG